GTAAAGTTGTTTTCCCTGCTGATGACCTAGTTCTCTAAACCACCTCCTGGATGTTGTGGAGTAGGTTGTGGGAAGACACAGCCAGGGCTTATGGAGAAGAGAGCAGCCCACCCAGTTTGGCAGCTGACAATACCCCAAATTCACAGATGAATTCACAGATTTCACACAATGAAAAATACTTGCTTTTAAAAGAAGGACATTCTGCCTTTTCCTTTCCAGTTGTTTTCTGATGGAAAGAAGGTAAACACTGGGAGCATACCAGTGACATTTCAGAACTGCCAATCCAAAGGGCTCCTGCAAATGCTGAGATCTGCAGGGAAAATTACACTGAATTACATTATTGGAGCTAATACTACCAGGAAAAAGAACAAAGTGTTGATAAACTGAGGCTGCACAGATGAGCTACTCAGCAGCTGCATGCACCAGGAAAAGAGCAGCACAGGTTGCCAGAGAGCCCCAGGAGCATGGCACTGTTGCAGTGAGTGAGATCCAACTATTCCAGGAGTAGGAAAAGATCAGGATTTTTCCTTAGTTTTGTCAAGCACGTGCAGCAGAAAAAATAAAATAAATAAATCACCCTTTTACTGCTGCTTTATTACAACAAACTGTGTCATTGTCAGAGCCAACTGGCAATCAAGGGGCACAGAGGACTGGTGGGTGTGCTTGGCTTCCTTTTACCTGAGGTTGCTGTGCAAACACAATACACATTGACATACCAACTGCTATGAGCTCTGAAGGTGAAAGGACATATTCAGCATTAACTTGCCCAGTCCTGATAAACTGACTCTCTGAGGGGCTCAATATGAGGTGCTGGTGGTCTTAGAAGTGCTAGCACCAATAGTGATGGCAGTCTGCTACAAAGAGCTGATCATCTTTCTCTTCTAGAGGAGCTGGGGCTACAAAACATTTGTTGAGAAAATCTGGGACAGCAGGCAAAGAGCTGGCTGGCTGTGCAGGGCCATTTGTGTCCTTCAGGTGCACCCACCACAGATGTCCAAACACGTTGAACCAGAGCATACAAAGGAGTGTGGGATGGTAGGAAAAGTCTTCATGGAAGTGTGTTTGAGCAGCTGCTGACCAGTAGCTGTAACTCTAATGTGAATATGTGAAAATGGGAGAATAGGAAAGGACACACTTCAGCTCTTTCCACACAAAACCTGTGTCCTCGGGCAGGAAGGTTTGGTAGGACAAAGCAAAAGCTACAGCAGCACAGCTCACAGGATAAGGAACTTGGAACAAGGTGAGAGGAAAGCTGCTTACTGTCTTTAAATGTTCTCATCCTCGTTGCTGCTGTAACATCTCTAGAAAAAACCCTCATTCTGAGTTGGGAAACAAAGCCACCCCAATTATCAGGCTCTGCACATACATGCCTACATTTCAGCAAAACAAAACACACTGTTAAGGGTAAAATAGCTCCATTTCCCTCTCACAGATGGTGCACCTACCACTGTATGCTCTGTAACTTAATAAGTAAGAATCTGGGATTCCTGTTATCCACTCTCAGGGCCTTTACAGATGCCAGATTTGTTTCTTTAATGCTCATCAAGTCTATTATTCAATAAAGAGTAATAGCTTTTTACAATTGAATTATATTTGATATTGTGCATTATGATTGTCTAACAGACCATGAATGTTCCTGCAGACAGATTCTGTAGTTTATTCACCTGCCATAGTAAAAGGTATGTATGGAAGATCTATGAGAATGGCCTGTGCATGTACCATGGGCCTTGTTGCCATGACCTGCAGAGAATGAAAATTAAAAGCTGACTCTCAGTCATCCATTTCTGAACATCTGAATACTTTGGGGTCTGACTTACAATGCAGCAACTATGTAATTCCTGACTGTTCCTCAGACCTCTTCCTCTGCCATGCTCACCCTCAGACTTCTAATTAATCTCAACATTGCTGCTCTGAATGTTTTGTGCCTTCTCCTCAGAGCCCTTCTCATCTCCTCCACATGTATGCTGTAAACCCTGTAAAAAGCTTTGGTCTCACCTAGGCACAGAAATAGATGTGGCTATGCTTTTAACAAGTACCAAAAATAAACCACACCAGTCCTTGGACTCCAGGAACACACGTGTGAATTTTAGCAAACCAAGACACCTTTCAGTACTATTTCTGTCTTGAAAAATAGACAGAAATTTTTTGCTTTAATCTCAGATGGAAAACATCAATTTCAAAAGTCTCTGAATAAAATTACCATCCTGCAGCTGGCTCTTTTTGGAATTGGATTTTTTTTACAACACTAGATGGTCACTGCCCTTGAGGGACTTTGCCTCAGAGGTGGGAAGAAGAGAAACAGCTAAGTTTTCAGGAGCTGCTGCACTTTTTTGCACTCCCTGGGAATACAAGACTCTTTCCTCAGCTGTACCTGTGAATGCTCGGTCACAACGAGCTGTGGCAGGAACCGTTTGCTTGTTCCCAGATCACTGCACCATGACTAGGTCTTATTTTTCTGTAATACTTTAGGTTCTTTAGCTTCACTTAACTGTAAAAATCACCAGAACTGATGTTACAGCTAGGTTTATTAAAAATGTATTGCTTTTTGTTGGGTATATTTCTGACACTGTTTTTCCTCAGTTATTCACATTTGCTTTTCATTTGTCTCTAGTTACTTAATATGGCCCAGTCATACAATGTGTAACTGCATGAAGTACAGTTTTAGACTTGAACTCAAATGGCTTTGGTACAGTCTTAAAAATAATAGCAAAACCTTAAAGAATTAATTTTTAAAATTTGATTTAACTTCAATGAGTAAAGGTTGACTTGCTTCAGACAGAGTACCAGTGTAACACTGGTCTACTCAGTATTTCAAAGAGCAATGAATCAAAGGGTCATGACGAAAGGTAGTGACTCCAAAGATGTCTCCTTGAAGGCTAAGAGTGGGAGTGTCTCAAGTGGTACAATATATATCACCAAGAGCTCAGAGAATCTGTTTAGGTTCAGCTGGCAAGCCAGATTCTTACGTGCTTCTTTGCAGTTTGTGGGGTAAGTATTTCTCCAAGTAAAATATAATTTCTAATTTCTATTCTTTAATATGGAAAAAAGTGATTATGTTTAAGAATTTTAAGGTAAGTATAAGACTGATATGTAAAAAACCAGCATATACAGTAATTGTACCTTACCTTATCAATATCTCTTATACTGCTTGACTGTTAGATACTTTAAGGTGTGCAAAATATATGTGTTCATACACCATAGTTTTGACTGGAAATATCGCTTTTTCATTGGAAATCTGGTGTCACATTAAAACTGTTCTTTTATAATTTTAGTAATTATTTTGGGAATAAAGGTACTTCTGTTTTCTCATTCTCACTCTCTGGAGGACACAGACAAGGTACAATATGGCAACTCAGAGTCTGTGGTTCCAAAGTCATTAGTACCAGATGCCTGTCAGCTCACATAATTAGCCACATGCTTCAACCTATGGATATGCTGCTAATTCTTTAACTGATTTGGAGATAAAAGAGCAGTAGGCAACTTTCTTGGCCTCAGATTCAAAAGAGAGAATGACTGCAAGTTTCAGTGAATATCCTTAACATCACATTCATTTGCACGTAGAGAACTTGACTCAATTAATGCAGCTCTAAGCTGTTTCAAGGTGTACAGAAAAAATCCATATTTATTATATAAATGCTTGTGCATTATCTCAAAATAAAATAATCAGCAGAGATTTAATGTCTGAAATGAGACTACAGGAAAGAACCTCTTAAATCTATTATAGTTCAGCATCTAAGGAACTGGCTGGATTTACAGAGTAACTTACTCCTGTTATTCCTATAAACTACAGGAAAGCAACCTTCAGATTTGTGGCTGGCTGTACTAAGAAATAGTAAATAGTAAATTATGAGTACAGTGAGTTGACTACATTTGATTTTAAGATCCAGAGCAGGCACAGAAGTAATGAAATATGAAGTTTGCATTATCTCAAACATCATTCAGAGTCCTCTGGATAGCCATGGGGAAACTTACCCATTCAGTGTTATATGTATCATACTGAAGCATGGATGAAACTGTAGACGTGTACAAGACACACTACTATGTTGATGGTGAACTAGTATCTTGCTGAAAGAAGA